GGGGGGGGCAGAGAGGAAAAGGGGCTGTGCCTGCTATTGTCCCAGGCGTCCAGGTAGCCCACTGGGGGCTGGGCCCTCTCCCTCCCAGTCCTGTTCACTTCCCGCAGGGCCTGAGGCACCTGCAGGGCCAGGGCCTGGGGTGGCTAAAGGGGACCAGTGTGGGGTGAGAAGCCCTGGGGCGGGTACCTGCGTGGGGGTGGTGAGAATGCACCAGGCGAAGGCCGAGTTCCCCCAGCTCCCTCCCAGCGTTTGCTCAGGATTAGCGGGTGACAGAGCGGCACCCACGCCTCCAGTAAACACGCATGGCCGGTGGGCGCCGGCCGGAGCTGGCAGTAGCAGTGGGCAAACATGGCCCTCCCTTCCCTACAGGAACCCCAGTGTTGACTCAGTGCCCAAGGGCTTGGCAGGGCTCAAGGGGGACCCAGGAGTCTATGGGGCCAGAGAGTGACGCTCGTCTGGGCAGGGGCAGGGCGGTCACAGCTTGCCTGGCCTCCCCACCTGAGTCCTGGGTGTGGCCACTGCGCGGGGACCAGCAAGGGCTGGGGTTAGAGCTGCCTCAGGTCAGTGCTGAGAGCCAGGGGGCACGTGGCAGAGCTCACATGGGGGGCGGGTGGCAGGGAAAGCCTGGTAGCAGCAGGAGCCCAGAAACGTGGGAGTGAGGTGTAGACACGCCCCTGCCCTGTTGGTAGAGGAAACACATCCCAAAGTGGCCTTGTCCAGGCCACCTGTTTCTGCTACACCCACCGCCACACCCTGATTGGCTAAGAGCTGCTGCTGGGACCCTTGACTCGGGGGCTGCAGAGTGATCCCTTCGCTGGCCCAGAGGATTGTGTGAGCAGACCCAGCCAAGCCCCCTGGCCAAAGGAGCGCACCTCTGCCCAGCACAGCAGACCCCGCCCTCGACCCCAGGGGTCCCCAGCAGAGCTGAAGGTGACCAACAGCGAGTGCCATTCATTTCACGCACTGTGGAGGCAGGAGAGCTGTCGGCTGAGGACAGAGCCAGCTGCTGAACCTGTTGCCAGGGAGGAGCGCTCATGGAGACAGCTAGGGGCTGTGGCCTGGGGCTTCGGGGAGGTGGCCCGGCATCAGAGG